AGGTTACTGGTTGAATCTCAAGGTCTGATTTCGGTCCTTTGCCTTCGCAGCCATTGCCAACGACTCTGACAACACTCTACAGCACCCTACTTGGAGATTCATGGATAGTTACAAGTAGGGTTATAAGTAGGATAACTATAGTTATAATGTATACTAGGGGACTTTTAACCCCACTTCTACCTACCCCGGAACCTGAATACGAGCACCCCTGCGTTTCAGAAGCCCTTCAATAGCATCTTTGAGAAAGAACGCCCGACCCGCATATCGAACCCGGTCGACTTCCCGGAGACTCCAAAGCCCAATATGGATCTTGAGTAACAGAATAGAGGGATCCTCAAAGCGTTTAAGTCACAAAAGTATATTACACTTACCCTGAGGCTCAAAATGGCCCAAAAGCCTTATATTGTGTGGTCTTTGGGCCCAAAAGCCTTAATATATGAGTCCTTAGAGCCTTAGGTTTAATTGCCTGAATTAGTTTTGGAGTTTTTTTGGCGGACGTCAACTCGGCAGCTGTCGCACTTCAGTGACAAGCAGAACGGGTCTCAGGACCAAAGACACTTCGCGGTAGATGTAAACGATTCTAAACAAGGGTTAAGCATGTGCATATGCTGCATATATATATATATATATATGTATATATATATATATATACACATACGTTTATGTGTGTATATCTATATATCTATATACACACACATATATTGGAAAGATTTATATCATCAATCCGCACGAAGCGGTCGTTCATTAGGGGTCCCAAAGTCGCAATCCTCTGGTGAGGATCCTACAATCAGAGTCTCTGCGAGGGTATCCTGTTTTCTGCAACTGAGAGTGCAACATGGAAATCTGTGTAATTTGGCAGTAGTTTCGCGTGCTGTGCGCCGGCTGCAAACGCGCAGTGAGCAGTGAGCATAGGGAACCCCTATTGCCAGTTATGTTTCACTTCAACCTGGTGTATGAACATGAACACAGAGGTAAAGCCCACACTGCAAAACCTTCCATCTGAAACCGTGAATCCTGACAACATTGGGCTTAGTATTCCCTAGGTGCACTCGGGCACTGTCAATCCGCCGTAGAATCGTAACCTGTCTGTGTGGCATTGAGGCGGTTGAACCCCGGATACTTGGGCCGCTCTCGCAGCCCTGATCCCAAAACTACTGACCCCTCAAGCCACATACTCGAAGCCTTTACCAGTGATCTTACCTGAAGAGCACCCGAAACTTTAAAGAACCCAAATCTGGGAGCCGGGCGCCATTAGCAGCTGAGGGTTGTTGGCGGCCATGTTCAGTCCTTCTTAGGCTGCCAGGCGAAGAACCGCCGATAATGTAGGGTTATAGGGCTTAGGGTTTAGGGGCTCGGGTTTAGGGTTTCGGGGTTTGGGGCTTTCGGGCTGTGTAGGGGCCTTAATAGCGAGGATAATTCCTTATGATGACTATAGTATAATATACCGCAAACCCTAGTCCAATTAGTAAGGCCCCTACATAAGGGATTCATGAGGATTCCAATGCCCAATTGAGGAACGGCCTTGGCTAGGGGTTTCTGGAGTCTCTGCGGCTGAAGCGGCAGGTGGTCCAACTATGCCAGGAAGACACATAAACTATCATAGACGGATGGGTTGGTGGCCGGATAGATGGATGGATGGACAGATAGGTAGATAACCGGTTGACAGAAAGATAGGTAGATAGACAGATAGAGAGACAATTCGATTGATCGATCGATAGATCGTTACATCGACAGCTAGCCAAGCAGTTCGAGAGATCATAGTTAGATAGATGAATGGTTCGATGATACATAGATGCAGGCTTGCAGTGTGGCGTCCGAGCCTCAAAGCCCTAAGATTGAGGTCCTCAGTTCCGTAGGGATAGCTGCACAGCTAAGGCTGCACGAAAAAAATCCCACCTTCACAGCTTCCAACACAACACCTACTGGACCTATATCCACGCAGACGTGAACAACCCAAATCCCGGATGTAACTCTGCATTCAAAACCATTGGCAAAAGGGCTCGGTCTCGTTACCAGGATCCAGCCGAGGCTCGCATGTCATCGTAGATCTTGCGAAGTGCCTTCACATCGACTCCACCGGGGCTTGGACAGATTGTTCAAGCCAAAGAAGCAAGCCCTAGACCGGCCTTATATAAACTCGATCAAGCTATAGCTGGAAAGTAGGCCCCATAAGGTTAAAGGTTACCAGCCCAGCCCTACATTGAGGGTTCGTAGTGCCTGGCATTACCCTATGTTGACTCTAAAGGCCCATATGATAAATGTTGGTTGGTGTAGTATGCTGTGCTCAGCGATGTGTTGAACTGTTTAGGTCTCTTGGTGCTTGGGGTACCGTTTCAGGGGCGATCATGTGGTTCCTTCTCATCGAGACTTTACAGCCCCAAAAAGGTCACCGACCGACCATGCAAACAAATCATCGTTTTGTGGTTTAAGGGTTGGTTTGGTGCTATAGGCATGGGGCGAGCAGCTACAATATGCAGCTACAAACAGCTCCTTTAACCAAGGCAGCTAGAACCCTGTCTAAAATGGCCGCTTACCCTACTTTTGAGAATCTTTCGTTGGTTTTGAGTTGCAGGATCGTAACTGTAAGTGTAAAATTGCTGAACCCTAGCAAAGCCTAACTTCCCTCAAGACCTGCTCAGAGCTTGGCCCATCCCATGCCGATGATGCCACCGGCATTCAGATATCGCGAGGGAGCAGAAGCCTTTTGGTTGTAGGTGTCGGGGTCCTCTAACAACTATTATACGGGTTCCATACGGGCTCCATAAAGTTTTTGTACTGTAAGGGTTGTTGGGCTGAGAGACGCCCCGACGACTACTGTTCGGGCTCCATACGGGTTCCATAAGGCATTCTATGAGGATTCCTTTCAGGGATCCTATGAGGGTTAAAGCAAACATGCACAACGGTCCGACAGGAGTTACAAAGCGGGTTACTTTATGCATCTGGCGTTCCAGGCTCCTTCAAGGGCTCTCACAAGGCAATTAAACGGTCGTAAAGGGTTTCTATACAGGGCTTCTTGTAACTCTTGTAGCCATTATATGCTTCTATCATTGAAGGGGTTGTAGTTATAGGCCCATTGAGTTGCATAAACATGATTCACCAGAGCTTCGAAGGATTTTCGAGTTGCTGAACAAACCATTCCGGAGCCACAGCATTCGTAATCACTAAACCGTAAATCCTGAAGCCCTAAACCATGAACTCCTACATTCCTGATCCCTGACTCGGTTTGTTCTGGGCTGCCACGCATTTCCCAGGCCCACGGCGTGCATTTGATCCACTGCCACGGTCGCTTGCCTCGGCAATGAAGCCCTGCTCTCTCTCCCTGAGGATCCCATGATCTCATGACCAGTGTAACATACTCCACAAAATACCACTATGTAGCCAACTATCGCCATAATCACTTACGAAAACCATCCCAAAGATAGACTAACTGCAAGTAGGGCACTGAGGCTCTGAATTGCTAAGTCCCCTCATTCTCCAACTTCGCGCCGCTCCACACGGTGGGTGCTTTTTGCTTGAAAGTTTGGGTTTGCATTGCTTTTTGTTACTTGTCCAGTATCCTTAGGACCAAAAGGCAAACCTTTGGGAACATTCAGGGCTTGTAACTGTAGTACCCCCAAAACTAAAGTTCAAGGTAGCCTACTCTACTAAGTACTAAGTTGCTGTATCAAATTGAGGGTCTTCTGGACCCAACCTTTGTGTAATTACCGACAACCTCAAGCCCGGGTCCTACCGGAAAGGCTCCTCCCAACGCAAACCCCGATTTCCGATACGGTTTGGGGTTTAGGATTTGGGGAGGGTTCATTTGCGAATCTCGACTCGCCACCAATCCTGAGTTTGGACTTCGGTCCAGGTTTTCGGAGGCTGGTTGCGGTTTTCAGATTCAGGCTTGTGCTTTGGATTCGGCCGCGCGCGTCTGCACCCGAAAATAAGGAGCTTGCTCCATCACCTCCCGCGGAAAAATGTTCTCCTGCATTCAGATTCAGAAGGCAGGGTTTCAGCATGTTACTGTAGCACATGAGAGCTGCATCTAGATGCGGCGAAACAGCCACAACGACCTACCAAAATCCAAACCCGAAAATCCTCGCATACCCCGGGCCATAGTCAAACCCTGAACAAGCCGTAAACCCCTTGGAAAACCCTCAAGCCTAAATACTACGACCTCAAACCCAGGAGTCCAGTGAGATGCCCCCACCGTCGAAAGACCTAGTAAAAGCGGCCTCAAGAATTGCAATAAGGTTTAATAAAGGAATTACAATAGGGCCCGACAGGGTTTTGCTGTTAAAGGCACACTACTATGCTATAGTCTCGCAAAAGGAAGCCCCAACATGGTATTCGTCAATTTTTCGGCCTCTATATTAAATTGCGTCAAGTGGTGAAACATCCAGGGCCTTGGCTTTTCCAGAATCCCGAGATCAGATAATGACGCGGTGCCGTTTTCTAACCCTAAACCCCTCTGGCACACCCCCTGTGCATGAATTGCCTGTAGCTATCTGGCTTGCTGCGTGTTCTTTGGACCTACTTAGACCCTCGATGGGAGTAGCCGTTTGCCTGCCTGATCCAGAAAAATAGATCTTAACCACAAAGCGGTTTCCACGATGCCGGCAGATTTTGCTTGGACTCGGGGTCTATAGGGTCTTAGCGTTCAACGCTAAGGACCCCACCCTAGGGCTCCAGTTACCTTAGGTTACCGGGGTATATAATATTGTTAGCAACCTACTACATAGAACTGGAGCCCCAGGCAAGTTCGTATTATCTGGGCCCAGACTGCGGCTACGGCGCGGTCCTGGAGCCCAGCACCACATACCTTCAATGCACATGGGTGGTTGTCGAAAAATTATGGTCCCTTTTTGGGTCCTTACTATGATAATAAGGCACCTATTATGTAAGGAAATTACCCAAAACGGACCCTAATTTTGACAACTACCCACATGAAGCTACACCCCAGATCTTGAGGGCCTCAAGCTGAGCCCTCAGTCCCTGAACATCCATGCGGGAACCTCCTAAACCCAGAAAACCAGGAAACTCTCAGCCTCCAAAAGTCCGTACGCCTTAAAACTTTGAATCCTACATCCCTTCGCGGTTCGGTCCCATGGCTCCTCGGCAGCCACTACCACGGGCGTGCCAAAGGAGAAAAACCGCCGAAGCAGCTCCTAAGCAGAAATGGCACTTGCTTGTGTAGCGTCTCAAACCTTGGGTTCAGGGATTATAGGCCTCTGGGGCTGTGAAGGGTTTCAGGATGTTCTAGGTTCAGGGAATAAAAAGAGTTTGGCACTATAACACAGCATACCTGTCGTCTTCATTGTGGCTCCTACTCTGGATGAACAAGGTGACGAATGAACGAACTGCCATGGAGACCGTCCGGGCTCAACCAAAGGCTATCTTCAGCTCCCGGCGTGGCCGTCGAAACCATTGGGAAAAACGTCGAAGGCATCCAGGAAAACGATCAAGTCATCGTCGTCCACCATCTGATGGCTTGGGCTGAGGCTTTAAGCGAACCCCAGAGTCAGAGAAAACCTGAAAAGTGTTTAGAATCTACGGCGCCGAAATTCTGTGAGGGTCATTATTAAGGGCTCTGGCATACAGGACTTCATGGTTTACTCAGGTCCCTAATTATATCAGATGGCTTCTGTGTCCGAGCTTCCAAACTTTTCCTGATTTGGAGAGCATGAATTTCAATCCCCGAACCGGATGCACAAAACCCTAGACCTTTATTTAAGCTGTCGCCCCCTTACACGAACGTTGAAACCTAAACACACCGAAATTGAAAATAAACCCCAAACCCAAACCAGTTGAGCCTCGAGCTCAAACCTACTCCCTGCAAGCTCGAAGTGTGACAGTGGACATCCATAAACCCTAAACCGTCCCCTGAACCCCCAAACCCTGATAAGCGTAAACCACGCGGGGGAGCCTTCAGGTAGGACCAGTAGCCGATCAGCTTGTCCAAGGTCCCCTTCCATTCGCCCTCCTGCGGCGTTTAAGGGCTTCAGGGCCTGGGGTGTAGGGTTTGCCGTTTGGGGTTTATGGCTTTGTTTCATCATCGATTTAAGGGTTTGGGCCAAAAGCGGTTAGGGGTTAGTAGTTCGGTGCCTAGTCTAGGCACCTGACGTCTTTGGAATCAGGGTACATTACACTGTTGCAAGCAGCTGCTTATCGTAAACAGGATGGTGATTTTTCAGAAAGCAAGATCCTAAACCAAACCCCTCTGAAGCCCACAGCCGTTCTCCAAAATGTTCCTCCAAAGCCCTGCAGCACCCTGCAGGCCCCGTATTGCCAACGTAGAACCCTGTCAAAGCCCTGGCATTCAGAACCAAGGGCTGGAGCATTGCAACCGAACTAACTCAGCAAAGGCATGGCGGTCTGAAGCTTACAGTGTGGGTTAACGGGGGCTGAAAGCACTGGCTAATATGTGATGTGGCGAATCTATTCGGTTGAGGATTTAGCTTAACCCCGAACAACGAGCCAAAACCGTAAACCCTATTCTGCCGTAACCCGTAACTCAATACATGAAGCCCTAAACCCGAAATCCCAAGCCGTGTTGCTACTGATGCGGTTCCCTCACATCAATGCTTGAAACTAGGGACAAGACAACGATTGCAGCCACAAAGAGCCAGAGCATGTGACGTTTCGAAAAGGAGGATTGGGACTCAGCATCCGAACGACATTACCCGTAGGTGGTCGCAACCCTTATAGCTGCAACGCCTTCAGCAGCCCACAAGATGGAATTCCTGCTGCAATTTTGTGCAAGGATCCCTCATTAGGTGCCTAGGACCTCTAGAGGCATGAACCCTTGCCGAACCGTTTAAGCAGCTCCCAATCGGCCCTGAACCCGAGTATTATCCACTGTTGCCCCCTTCTTCGACTAATCAGCTTTATGGTTCGGAGCCTCTGCTATAAAACAATGTAAGCTATCACCGCAACACCATAGCAAACATAGCCCAAGACCCAGAGGATATCCGAAACCCGATGCGCCTGACGGAGAATCTTGACGGGGAAGGGTGCATGGTTCTGTAGTAGATCCAGGTTCTTGTGCGGCTTGTTCCTCAGGAACTCTCGGTGCAGAGCTTTGGACCTGACTTCAGCCTGATATGTACGAAATGACCCTTAAAAGTAGGGGCCCTATACCCATATACTATGAATCCCTATATGGTATATGAACCTTAAACCCTTTTAGGGTTCATTTCGTCCTTAAGTAGAACCTTACGAAAACCATGATCACACCCCGATTGAGCGGCGCAAGACCCGGTAAACTGAATCTCTATATATGTACCCAATACAGTCTTTGCAGCTACCGAGTGGGGCAGCCCAATGTCGACCCCTAGCATCGTTCTTATCATAAGGACCCCATGTTTAAGCAACCCGTCACCGTCAGTACAACCGGTCTAAAGCTCATGCGTGAAATCCTCATAGCAGCCTTTGAACACGATTGTGACATGAAGCTCAGCAATGCCAAGGCACATGCGTCCAACGTGCACGAGTATTATCGATGCTTTAAATGCATAACCAGAGAAGGCATACTCGTATCACAACAGACGGTTTCAACGTTACCCGAACCATCCCGAACCCTAAGTGAACCACCCTACTGCCTCAAGAAATCAGAAATCCCGGGACTCAGAATGAAGGGTTGTGGACGCCTTGGGCTGCCGTAGTGGCCTCAAACCATAAGCCGTAAACCCAAACACCCTAAACCCTAAACTGAGGCACGCACGCATACACCGCAATCTGCACGCTCGCAACTCTCCTAAACATGACAACCAGGCACTGCAAGCATGCAATCGTGAGTTTAGGGTCCAGAGCTTTAAGGTATAGGGTTGAAGAATTTAGGGTTGAGGCGCAGGGTGTGGGGTTTAGGGGTGGAATTTGGGACTTTCGGGTTTAGGGCCAGGGCTCAGGGAATCGTCTTGATTTGGAGGACGACCCTTTGCACGGTCGGTATACAGGGACTCTTCGCCTTAAGCCTATATGGGAGTTTGCAGAAATAGGGGTACCCCATTTTCGGATCCTTGTATTAAGGGTCCTACTTGTTAGGGTACTATATTAGGGTCCCCTACTTTTCGGAAAATCCCATATCACGGCTCTATGAGACCCCTCATGGAAGAAAGCAACAAGTTGCCGGTCCCAACGGCATACAGCGAAAACAATAAACCCCAATATACGCATGGGCCTGAATAGACCCTATAAGGGTCCATGAACCCAAAAAGAATATACTTTGGCCGTAAAGCAGTCCCCTATATAGGTACCTTTGGGGCCAAAGTATATACTGTTTGGGTACATCGACCCTTCAGGGAGATCGACGGGGGTTTTGTGGTATCGGTGTATTGCTGTAATTACCCAGAGGCCCCATAGTAGTTCCTTTTTGGGATTACCTCATAAGATTCTAAATATGAATCTCAAAAAGGAACTACTTTGGGGCCTTAGGGTATAGGTACCGTGTGTCCTTGGCCTTTGGCTTTTGGAGCTGACCGTGTCTGTTGCTTCCCACGGATATCTCAGCGTCCCGAGGCACACCCGAAACGCTCAAATCCGCACCCTAAGCCCTTGGATGCTAATGCCCGAAAAGCCGATGGTTTAGGGTTTAGGGGTTTAGGGAAAAAGGGTTGTTGGGTTCAAGATGGGCGCCCCAAGCCCAATCTGCAATGCCAAGGGGAACGTCTACACAAAAGCCCCTTTACCCAATGTCCCCAAGGGTCCATGTACTCATATAGTATATACATTGGCCTTAAAGTATTCCCTGTATAGGTACATTGGCCCCATAGTATATACTATATGGGTACATGGGCCCTTAGGGATCTTTACCCAATGTGGTCCTCGGATAAGTTGCGAACTGGATCGCCTGCCAAAGCTCCTCCTCCTGCAACCTCGGCATCTTCTGAAAAACCGCCAAGGGTTACTTGAGCTTACTAACCCTAAGGCTCAAAATAGCCCAAAAAAGCCTTATGTAGTATGGTCTTTGGGCCCAAATATCTTAATATATGAATCCTTAGAGCCTTAGGGTAAGGGTTCTATCAGGGTTGGTGCAGATGTGAGCTCTGAGCGCTTTAGGGATTGGAGATTCCGGGCTCAGGCCCTTGGGGGCATAGGGCTCCGGCTTCCAACTTGAACGTCTTGTTCTTGAGCGCTTAAATGGGAGTTTCCGAAAATAGGGGACCCTAATATAGCACCCCAAATAGTAGGATCCTTATTGTAAGGACCCCAAAATGAGGTAACCCTAATAAGGATGGTCTTTTGGTGACCTAATTCCATAGTAGTAATGCTTATGGACCCTCTGGGGGATTTCTGGGCTTTGAAGTAACCGGGGAGAAAAACGTCTAGACCTTTATTTCATAATGGTTCCTTTAAGGGGCACATACCAAAAAAGAGTATTAAAGTATGGTACTCCAAACCCCAGATATGGGACTTTCCGAAAATTAGGATACCTTAGTTCGGGGTCCTTATAATAAGGATCCTACTATTTGGGGTACTATATTCGGGTCCACCATTTTCGGAAACTCCCATATGGACCTTCTGGGGGATGCCTTTTCCCAGGCCCCCAAAAGGATCCAAAAAGTAGATCCCTTAATGGCTCCTATAACCCCTTAGAGTATGGCCCCAAATTAGGACTTTTTAACCGTTTGGTCTGGGTTTGAGACTTGACTCGAAGGAGCCTGGGTCTCTGGGAAGCCACGTCTTCCCTCACACAAACACTTGTGCCTTCGGCCGCCGTGTCGTCGCTACCCCCAGACTCCAAAGTGGGCACCGCGTAAAGGGTCTCTATGACTTTTCGTTATAGGGTTTTAAAGGGTTTCTATGAGGTTTTTTGTGGGGTTTTGAAGGAGTAGAAGACTCCAAATAGCCCAAAGCAGGTACCATTTATAGCTCTTAGACTCTTAGACCCCAACTGGGTCAACTAGGTGCATTAGTTCCATACTCGGAGTCCGGGTTATGGCAAGATCCTACGGGTCCAATGAACTGAGCCGGACAGACGGAGAATACTATAAAGGCCTTAATTATTAGAATAGGGCTTGCGGGGGTTCGTTAACAGGATCCACAGGGTATCTACAAGGGTATAATGATAACAATGAACCCGAAAGAATAATGTTGGTAATTATTCAGGCTTCTGTTGTAGGTATCTCGCGGTTGGCGGTTTAGGCGCGCAAAGTCTGGAATGCGCCTTCCATAACCCTAAACTCGGAAGCCCAAATGGCAAAAGTCACAAACCCTTTTTGGTACGCATTGTTATACGAAGTATTTTAGTCATAATAGAGATTCGCAAATTATTAGAAAAGCTTGCCCTCTGCCGTCTGCCCGGCTCAGTACGAGCATCCCGTCGGTTTCGAACCCTGCAGCCAAATTGCGCTTGCTCTAAACTTCGTGATGCTGGCCGGGCCCAAGTACACACCCTGGAGGTTGACCTCAAAACCTACATATGAAGGCCCGCAACTAAGATTTTAATGCAGGTGTGAGCTCTGGGCGCTTTAGGGATTGGAGATTCCGGGCTCAGGCCCTTGGGGGCATAGGGCTCCGGCTTCCAACTTGAACGTCTTGTTCTTGAGCGCTTAAATGGGAGTTTCCGAAATAGGGGACCCTAATATAGCACCCCAAATAGTAGGATCCTTATTATAAGGACCCCAAAATGAGGTAACCCTAATAAGGATGGTCTTTTGGGGACCTAATTCCATAGTAGTAATGTTTATGGACCCTCTGGGGGATTTCTGGGCTTTGAAGTAACCGGGGAGAAAAACGTCTAGACCTTTATTTCATAATGGTTCCTTTAAGGGGCAGATACCAAAAAAGAGTATTAAAGTATGGTACTCCAAACCCCAGATATGGGACTTTCCGAAAATTAGGATACCTTAGTTCGGGGTCCTTATAATAAGGATCCTACTATTTGGGGTACTATATTCGGGTCCACCATTTTCGGAAACTCCCATATGGACCTTCTGGGGGATGCCTTTTCCCAGGCCCCCAAAAGGATCCAAAAAGTAGATCCCTTAATGGCTCCTATAACCCCTTAGAGTATGGCCCCAAATTAGGACTTTTTAACCGTTTGGTCTGGGTTTGAGACTTGACTCGAAGGAGCCTGGGTCTCTGGGAAGCCACGTCTTCCCTCACACAAACACTTGTGCCTTCGGCCGCCGTGTCGTCGCTACCCCCAGACTCCAAAGTGGGCACCGCGTAAAGGGTCTCTATGACTTTTCGTTATAGGGGTTTTAAGGGGTTTCTATGAGGTTTTTTGTGGGGTTTTGAAGGAGTAGAAGACTCCAAATAGCCCAAAGCAGGTACCATTTATAGCTCTTAGACTCTTAGACCCCAACTAGGTCAACTAGGTGCATTAGTTCCATACTCGGAGTCCGGGTTATGACAAGATCCTACGGGTCCAATGAACTGAGCCGGACAGACGGAGAATACTATAAAGGCCTTAATTATTAGAATAGGGCTTGCGGGGGTTCGTTAACAGGATCCACAGGGTATCTACAAGGGTATAATGATAACAATGAACCCGAAAGAATAATGTTGGTAATTATTCAAGCTTCTGTTGTAGGTATCTCGCGGTTGGCGGTTTAGGCGCGCAAAGTCTGGAATGCGCCTTCCATAACCCTAAACTCGAAAGCCCAAATGGCAAAAGTCACAAACCCTTTTTGGTACGCATTGTTATACGAAGTATTTTAGTCATAATAGAGATTCGCAAACTATTAGAAAAGCTTGCCCTCTGCCGTCTGCCCGGCTCAGTACGAGCATCCCGTCGGTTTCGAACCCTGCAGCCAAATTGCGCTTGCTCTAAACTTCGTGATACTGGCCGGGCCCAAGTACACACCCTGGAGGTTGACCTCAAAACCTACATATGAAGGCCCGCAACTAAGATTTTAATGCAGGTGTGAGCTCTGGGCGCTTTAGGGATTGGAGATTCAGGGCTAAGGCCCTTGGGGGCATAGGGCTCCGGCTTCCAACTTGAACGTCTTGTTCTTGAGCGCTTAAATGGGAGTTTCCGAAATAGGGGACCCTAATATAGCACCCCAAATAGTAGGATCCTTATTATAAGGACCCCAAAATGAGGTAACCCTAATAAGGATGGTCTTTTGGGGACCTAATTCCATAGTAGTAATGTTTATGGACCCTCTGGGGGATTTCTGGGCTTTGAAGTAACCGGGGAGAAAAACGTCTAAACCTTTATTTCATAATGGTTCCTTTAAGGGGCACATACCAAAAAAGAGTATTAAAGTATGGTACTCAAAACCCCAGATATGGGACTTTCCGAAAATTAGGATACCTTAGTTCGGGGTCCTTATAATAAGGATCCTACTATGTAGGGTACTATATTCGGGTCCACCATTTTCGGAAACTCCCATATGGACCCTCTGGGGGATGCCTTTTCCCAGACCCCCAAAAGGATCCAAAAAGTAGACCCTGAATGGCTCCTATAACCCCTTAGAGTATGGCCCCAAATTAGGACTTTTTAACCGTTTGGTCTGGGTTTGAGACTTGACTCGAAGGAGCCTGGGTCTCTGGGAAGCCACGTCTTCCCTCACACAAACACTTGTGCCTTCGGCCGCCGTGTCGTCGCTACCCCCAGACTCCAAAGTGGGCACCGCGTAAAGGGTCTCTATGACTTTTCGTTATAGGGTTTTAAAGGGTTTCTATGAGGTTTTTTGTGGGGTTTTGAAGGAGTAGAAGACTCCAAATAGCCCAAAGCAGGTACCATTTATAGCTCTTAGACTCTTAGACCCCAACTAGGTCAACTAGGTGCATTAGTTCCATACTCGGAGTCCGGGTTATGGCAAGATCCTACGGGTCCAATGAACTGAGCCGGACAGACGGAGAATACTATAAAGGCCTAATTATTAGTCTGAATGCGAGTGCGCTTGTTCATAATGTGCTACCGAAGGCTTGTTTTCTCGAAGCAAAAAGCTAGTGTGCCTCCGCGAGTCGGAGGTTATGAGCCCAACGCTCTCCTCCTAAGTGAGGCTGGTAAGTCGTTGGTGAGCTCCGATGGACGCCAGTGAGGCAGCCCCGCGAGAGGTCCCGCCGGAGGATGGGGGCGCGCATGACGCTGATGACAACGGGGGCTTGCCGGCGGTGGAACAGGCCATGGAGGAGGGAGACACGCGGCTCATGGGGGCCAGAGTTGATGATGAAGTTCGTGAACCTGGCTATGATGTGGCAGAGCCGTTAGGGCAGCAGGGCGAGGCGCACGGAAGCCAGGGAAATCACGGTGAGACCCAGGAGCCGTCACAGGTACCTGCGGTCTCATCCTCTGATCGGCAGCGACCTGTGCCTGCTGCTCTAACTGAGGGCGTGCGAGAAGCGGGAGAGACTGTGGCACCTCTTCAGAGTGAAGAACGAGCTGTCTCTGTGGAGCGACGAAGTGAAGAAGTGGGCCAAGTGGCGCGAAGCTTGGCCTTTATGACCAATCTGGTCACGACTTTGGTTGGCCGTATGGATCGTGTGGAACAGAATCAGTCTCGAGGTGGATCGAGCGCGTCGATGAGGAGGACAACGGCAACGGAAGGGAGAATGGAGACGCCCATGGGAGGAACCCCCGAAGCTGGAAGTCTAGGATATGTGGACATGGAGCGGCTGAACGCCCAGTTGGGGATGATGCAGCTGGCTGGGAGAGATCCAGGAGAAGGGTTGCCAGATCGGCCGTTGGCCTCGCTGGACCGAATCATGACTGGAACTTTCAGCTCGGACGACAGTGAGACAGCCAGGCTGAGGGCGTCGCAGAGCCGTGCCACTCCTGGGGCGCTTTTGGGGCCTTTGGCTATGCCTACGGGACCTTTGGTGCTGCATGGGCACCCGGGGATGATTTCAGAGGTGTCAGCCTTGGCGCCGCCACCGGGAATGCCGCAGGGATCTTCACAAATTATGGTGCAGTTTCCGGGTACGACTCAGGGATCTTCGCAAAGTGGTGTGCAGTTTCCGTGTATGCATCAGGGATCCTCTCAGACAGCTATGCCCCTTCCGTATATGCCTCAGGGATCTTCTCAGACGGGTATGCCTCCTCCGTATATGCTTCAGAGCTCTTCTCAGATCAGTGCGCCGCTCCTGAGTATGCCGCAGGGATCTTCTCAGACCGCGGTGCAGTCTTTGCCTATCCCTCAGGAATCCTCGCAGGTGAGTATGCAGCTTCCGACTATGTCTCAGGAGGCTTTGACGTCGAGTGGGCCGCTGCCAAGTATGCCTCAGGGATCTCCTCCGACGGGATTGCAGGGGTCAGGTTCGACTAGTCTGCCGTTTCCGAGTATGCCTCAGGGATCTTCTCAGACGAGTGTGCAGCCTTTGACAATGTCTCCGGAGGGCCCCGACTCAATCCAGCCATGCCCAGGTCCTTCGTTTGGATCGTCGGCGCCACTGACTCAGGATGTCGGGCCTGGACAGCCTGAACCCTCTTTCCCAGGCGCGTCTCCAGGGGATCTTCAGCTTTTGGCGAGGTTGTCTGCGCAGTTTGCGGAGTCGGGATCTACAGTGGCTACTGCGGAAAGGATGTTGCGGGAAAGTTCGATGGCTTTGGAGGCGGGAAGGCTTTCGCAGACTGCGGTGGAGCAGGCTGTGAGGGAAGGAGGTGGACCGCCAGTTTCGGCGGGAATGACTTTGGATGCTCCGGCTACAGGATGGGTCCATGTGAACGGGGCGTGGCTACCTTACTACATGCTGCAAGGTCAGATGGTGATTCCTCAGGGAGCTGGAGGTCGAAGTGGCAATGCGGTTAGTGGCGAGGGTTCGCTTCCAAATGTCGGGATCGGACCTTCGACGTCGGCTCCGCCACCGCCTCCGCCTCCGCCCAGGTCTCCGTCTACTCCGGCTCGAAGGCCTCGTCAAGGGGATAATTCCACTCCTGGAGGCACTCCGAGCCCTCCTGCGGTGTTTGCGGGGAGTTCAGAAGTGGAGGAGCCGAGCAAACTGGTGACGCGACTTCCGATGTTGGCGGCGACTAAGGGCCAGGACGCTGCAGTGGTGGCTGGGGACTGGCTGGCGCAGCTGGAACCAAGCATGTCGAGCCTGAGCAGTTCGGCGGCCTCGTGGTGGCAGGCCTTGATGGAGAGGGTTAGAGTGCTCTACACGAGATGGTTGGAGTCGACCCCCATCCTGAGGCTCCAGATCCGTCAGGAAGTGCTGGCGCAGAGATCACCCATCGACAAGTACCAGAGAGTGGAGCAGCGAGCATCTATGTTGCTGCTGGACAGTTTGCCGGAGGACTTGCGGGCGGAAGTTGTGAGCGTGAGGGCGGTGACGGTGGAGGCGATGATTTTCTTGGTCCACTGCTCCTTCCAACCCGGCGGCTCGGCCGAGAAGGCGTATTTGCTCCAGTTCTTGACGGCGCCGGAGTCCGGCAACTCTGTGGACTCGGCCTTGTCCCTGGCCCGGAAGTGGGTGCGGCTTTTGAGGCGTGGCAAAGAGCTCCAGGTTGTGTTGCCAGACCCGAGTCTCCTTTGTCGTGGTTTGGACAAGCTTCATGGGGGAGTTTTCGCGGGCAACAAACACCCTAGTGCGGCCTTTCGCATAGCCAGCTTCAAATTGGAACGTCAGTTGGACTACAAGGCGATGGCTAAGGACGTTGAGGACTATGCGCAGTTGATCCTTGGGGAGCTGGAAGCCGCGCTGCTCGCGCAGCCACTGCCCTCCCAGCCGAAGCTCAACCGGATGGAGGAGACTGGGAATGCCGATGCGGGCAAAGGCAAGGCCAAGGGAAAGGGGCAAAAGCCTTGTTGGGGGTGGTCGGATGGATCGGGCTGCAAGTATGGCCAAAACTGTATGTTTCGTCATGATTCACTTGGCCCTGGTCGTTGTTGGGTGTGCGGAAGCAGCAGTCATCTTAAGCCTCAGTGCCCGGTTGCCGGTCAAGGGGGGAATGGCTCTTCATCGACGGCTGCGGGAACGACGAGTTCTTCAACGGCGCCTTCTACATCTCCGGCACCTCCGGCTGGAAAAGGGGACCAAGTGCTGGAAGGAAGCCCCGGCGGAAAGGCGGTGGTGGAAAGGGCAGCAAAGATGCGATCAGAAAGGCCGAGGAGGATGGAGTCTCGACAGAGGGGGGAGCGACCAATGCAGCTCCTCAGGCATCGGCGACCTCGGCTGCTACGACGGCGGCCCCGTCGAGTGACTCGGCAAGGGAGGATTTCTTTGAGGAGGCGGCCAAGGCACTGAAGTCTTTGAGGCTGGCCCGTGCTACGTTGGATCGGGTGGCTATGGTGGCGAATGGGCCTCTCAGGGCACTTGTGGATTCAGGTGCTACTACGTCAATGAGAACGGCGAGGCAGCGCGAAACCCAGGGACTACCTACTCGAAAAGTGCTATTGGCTGAGGGCGAGGCGAACTTCTACCAACTTCCGGGCGGAACGCTGCTGACGGAAAGGAGGACCTCACCTATCGTGGCGATGAGCGACCTGATGGAGATCGGCTGTAGGGTGTCATGGGACTCGGCCGAGGGCTGTTGCATCACCCATCCTGTTCGGGGATCTCTGGGTGTCCAGGTTGTGAACGGCTGCCCAGAGGTGGATGAGACTCTGGGATTGGAGTTGATTGAGGAGGCCGAGATCATCAAGAATCGTCGTCGTGAGGCGGAGCTCATGGTGAATCGGCTGGTCTTGGAATGCAGCCCGGAGCCAAAGCTGGACTGGGATTTGGGAGCCAAGGCCGTGAAGGACTTGAGGAATGGTGTTGGAATTTCCTGGGCTTGGCTTCGTCGAGCGTTCCCTCAGGCTCCCGCGTGGCTGGTGTCGGCCATTCCGGTGGTGGCCTCTATGGAAGGCAGCAGGATCCCGTGGAACCGCCGAGAGCGGAAGAAGTGGCGACAGGCCACTGCTGTGGCCGTGCATTTGTTCTGCGGTAGAGACAGAGCGACCTGGAAATCGTCAGCGGAGGCGGCTCACGTGGTGACTGTGGACCAGGCGGAGGATGTCATGGCGGATGATACCTACGCTGCCCTGCTGGATTTGGCCCTTAGTGGAAAGGTGAAGATGGTGTTTGGAGGACCGCCCCCGAGGACCTACTCGGCGCTACGATCGTCGTCTGCGGAAGGAGAGGGGGAACTGCGTCCTTTACGTGATCGTGATGGTGATGGAAGGTGGGGTCGGGCAGACCTCAGTGAATGGGAGGCATGGCGAGTGAGACAAGACACCATCATGACCTTCAGGATGATCTTCTTGTGGATGGTGGCCACTGCGGTGGCCCGTGGCAATGGGTGTCAGGATCCAGATTTTCTGATGGAGCATCCGGAGGACCCCCAGGAGTTTCTGCCGAAGAAGGGTCTAGCGTCGTTGTGGGCCTTTCCTGAGGTTCAGTTCCTGAAGAAGGAGATGAAGTGGTGGTGGTGGGCCTTTGATCAAGGTCCTCTCGGGCATCCTCGCAGGAAGCCTACCCGGGTGTTGTCCTCTCAGCCTTGTCCGAAGGCGCTGCAGGACGTACGCGGGCCCTCAGTTGTTTCGGAGGAGGAACGAGATGCGGATGGTGAAGGCTTCCGAGCGGCTCGGTGGGCGGCGTGGAGTCCGGGCCTGAAGTGCGCTGTGCAGCGCGCTGTCGAGGAGAGTTTGGCGGGAGCGACCTTGGAGTCCATCTGCAAGCTGGACGGTGCCTTTCTGGAGCACTTGCAGCGGGACCACACGCCATTCAGGCGTGACTGTCGTGCCTGTCTAGCTGGACACTTTCGAGGGCATGCCCATCGCCGCATTGTTGCTCCAGACGCTTGGACCCTCAGTCTGGACTTGATCGGGCCAACTCGCCAGGGCTCGGATGAGTACGTCCGCAAGATCCGCTATGGGCTTATCGGCACCCTGGTTGTTCCGGATACTTTGGGAAAGATCCTTCAGCCTCCTGATCCGGATGGTGAGGATGAGGGCAAGGGCGTGGGTCTAGTGGAGGATCCGATTTGTGATGAAGACCACCCCGACCCTGCGGAAGCAGAGGCCTCCGGAACGGAGGCGGAGCGCAGTGATCGGGAGATGGAGAGGTGGAAAGCCAGAGTTGAAAAGGACCAGCTGGAGAATGTGACCTGTGTGGAAGTCCCCTTCTTTGTGCCTCTGGCCAGCAAAGGTGCTGCGGAGGTGCTAGCGGCCACCAAGGACGTGCTGGTGCAGGTGAAGAAGCTCGGGCTCTCTGTCCAGAGGATTCACACGGACCGCGGCCGGGAGTTCATCAACAAAGGCTTTCGAGCTCTATGTCGGGATCGCAATTTGGTGCGGACTACGACTGTTGGAGATGACTTCAAGGCCAATGGTCGGGTGGAGGCTTTGGTTGGCAGGGCTAAGTGCGCGGTTCGGACCTACTTAGCCAGCTCCGGTTTAGGAGCAGAGATGTGGGCTTTTGCGATGCGGCACTACACCTCCCGGATCCAGCAGCAGGTGGCCACTCAGCTTGGTGCTCGTCTACCCCGGTTGCCACCGTTTGGAACGCGGGTCTTCGTCAAGAGGAGGTCCTGGAACCTTAAGAAAGAGGAGTTTTCGGAGAAGGTGGTGGCGGCGAGGGTTCTGTGTCCTTCGCTGGATGTGGCGCGGGGTTTCCTGGTGAAGACCGAGGACGGCGCCTACGTGACTACCATGGTGGCGGTCGAGAACGTGAAGGAGGTCTCGGGTGAGTTCGAGGTTGATGCTCCGCCCTCTGCTACTGGAGAGCCCGGAGTTCGACGCAGGATGCGAGAAAAGACCCCCGCGATTGCGAAGCTACGCTGCAATGATCAATGGGAGGAGCACCTCATTCAGGACGAGGAGCTCGCGGAAACCTTCCTGGACGCCAAGGACTTTTCGGCTGATGCTATGGACCAGCTACTGGACGGTCTTTGGCTAAGTGAAGAGACGGTACCAAACCGCCGAGGAGAAACCTTCAGCCACAGCTCCCGGATTACCTCCCATGTGGCTGGCATGTTTCGGCATGGTGGAGTAGTTGGGGCGACCAATTTGGTTCGGCATCGGCCCGCGCTAGTGAAGTTCCTAGTGGAGTTTGTCAAGGCGCAGCTCCCTCCGGGAACTACCTTCACTTCCCTAGCAGTCAACTTCAACATGCCATCGCAATGTCACAAGGACAGCAACAACAAGCCGGGGGAGAAAGCGTACTTGATGGGCTTTGGCAACTACTTGAAGGATCTTGGTGGTTAGTATTTGGTTACAGGGGATATGGGGGATATAAGTGGGGTTATATAACTTGTGTAAACGGACTTATCTATGTAGTTAACTAGAGTTACCTAAGTGAACTTATTTGGACTTAGCTAAGTGGGATAAGTTGAAATATCAGCAAATATTCACATACATAGATGAACATAAAATGTATATATCCTCCAGCAAAAGCACAGAAGGAGAAGTGAGGCCACCGAGGACCTACATGACAATAAGCACGAGTGAAGCCGTCCAGAGCCTGATAAATCAAGCAATATATCGCCACAGAAAGTATTGCATGCATGCACATATTTCTGCAGTGCAAGCATGAGGAAAAGGCATGTGCATGATTCATGCATGCATGCTTGCAAGTATATACAGCGGTGACTTCAAGACTCGCATGCAGGGCACACTGCTCGCATGCAGACATGCACTCATGAAAGAGACTCGCATGCAGGGCACCTTGCTCGCATGCATTTTTTTCGGCTAGCGGCTAGACCAAAACGATCGCTTTGCCATCCTTCTCCGAATAGATGCAGCACGATTTGATGCTGTCCGTTGTCGTGATAAAGGGGTCGAGGTCTGTGCATTCAAACATGTGCTCGTACACATGCTTCCATGGTGTGACACAAGTCCAGACTTGGCCTGCAGCTTGGAAGTGAAACTGCACTAGACCCACAGTCGTAGCATCCACAGCGACGATATCACCTTTTGTGCAAACGAACCCGCCGGCATGCATGGCCCGCAAATCATGCAAAATGGGCCCCGTTGCAAATGGCATGACCTGGCCCACGAGATCAACGAGCTTCTTCGGGGCCGGCTTGGGGTTCATAAGCCGCACCTTTGAGGATGGAAGCTCTGCAGATATGCAGTTCAACTGCACTGCCAAGACATCCTTCAGGACACTCTCCTCGAAGCCCCTGGAGCCATCCAGCTTTTGGTTCGCAAACCGCTTGACGACTTTGTGTTTTCGCTCGTGGGTGAAGCACCACACCAAGTGGCCAAACTTTGCAAGAAATTCACCTAGATGAAGTGACATATGGTTCTTTGGAACCCATATATCTTGGCCATAGGTCTCTAGCAAGCAGTTCGAATGTTTCACGATCGTGTCGTGAAGGACCGCCGGGTCAACAGCACGTCCTCGCACAGCATCATGAAGCATGTCTACGACCTTGCACAGCATCAGGAAGCACATGCATGCCTGGACCGTGCCCGGGCTGATCGCTGTTGTCATGACAAACTTCAAGATAAAGATTCGCAAAACAGGAAGAGCATTGAGGAGCTCAGAAGCCTCAGCCTTCACAGGAGATGTTTTCTTTTCCCGTTTTGCAAAAACTCTTTTTGCATCGGGTGAAGCGAACTGCTTCGGCCACCGAAAGCTGGACACAAAATCCATGAGTCGATCCTCGCCGAAACCTGCATCGCGAAGCTCGGCAAAGAAGCAGCCCAATTCATTTCCAACGATGCCATGGACGAGGTAGATGTGAAAAAAATCGAACATTATGGCCTCAGGCACCTTGTGTCCTATGATGTCATCCATGAGCAACCCGTGCACTCGCAGATTGAATCCCAGGGCTGTTTCCAAGGCCTCGAACTGTGCTTTGCTAACAGTGCCATGCTGTGCATCCAAGAATGCCAGGAAATCCCGAGTCGTGGCATTGGTGTGTAAACGAAATTTCGAATAATCAGTGCACAAGCTGGACACGAACTCAGATCGCATGTCACTCACCGTGCTTCTGGCAGCAACGACATTGCTGCATCGGCAGCAGAAGACGGTGCCTGAGGCACCTTTTCCCTCGATGGACTGCTTAATGGCCGCTTCATCTGCGACTAAGATCTTCAAGTCCAAGAAGATGGGGAAATGGTCTCCTTCCGGAGTGTCCACCACCATGCCTTTTCGCATGTCGTGATCTGTGAAAAACAGTCGAAGCATGAGTCGCCACAAACACGTCAACCCGCCGATGGAAGAACAATGGTGCGACCGTAGGCAGGTCAGTGGAAACCATAATGCCTCAGACGCCAAACCGCGACTTCCAAGTTCGGATATACTCCAGTATATACATTGGATTTTGCGGGAATTGTTGGCTTTGAGTGTGTTGCCAGGGGTCACTTCATCAGCATAGAAAATGAGACCCCATGGCCGAGCATAGGATGGTGTCTCCTTGTGTGGCAACACCTCCTGTCGCAGAAATTCCCACAACGGAGCAAGACTGAAGATGTGCTTCAGGAAGGCAGCCGGGTGGATGTATGGCACCGTCACCGTCTTGTTGCACTGGCCCTCCACCGGGACCTCCATCTTCTGCACCAAGGGCCCATAAACACCGGTAAGAGATGCAAGGTCCTCCTCCCGAGCTCGCTTGATGGAGCTTCTGGAAGATGTAACGTCGTCGGCAAGCAACCCAGACTTCTTTAAGTCTGTCAACACACTCTCTATGCCGTGTTGTGACACATATGCCTTGCGGCCCAACATAGCCAACGGAGCCTTGGAGCTGCTTGCAGTCTCAGTCATGATGATTCAGAAGAGGTGCTCGACGAGTCAGTTCGTGAAAATGGAAGAAACCCTGACCACGAGCAAGTGCCCTGCAGTCGAGCAATGGCTGGATGCATCCGTGGTACCGGATGACTGTCTGTATATAGTCTGAACTTGTGCATGAGAACCATGTCTGAACATGAAGCATCTATATACATATGTGTATAAATTTACGATACGTAAAAGCAATATATACCTATATAAACCCATATATAGATACCATATAGTACATACGAGGGAAAACCCTTTATATATAAGCCGACAGACCTATATATATATATATATATATATACATCCCCTATATAATATATAAACCTATATAACCGTAAACCCTAAAACCCTATAACCCTGAAAACCCTATGTATTTATAAACCTGAACCTACAGTGTATATATTATATATTTATGAACCTATATATGCACATGGCATGCATGCCTCAGCACTTGGAGCCTGCACACACTGCAGGCACAACACACACACACACACACACACACACACTCGCCTGCCAACATACACATCCGGAAGAAGCTGGCAGCACGGGCTTCACACATGGTTGCATGGCATTCATGCAGGATGCAAGGAAAGCTCGCGAGCAGCTTTTGCCGACTTTCCTCAAAATCCTGTCGCGATGGAGTGCATTTAGCGAAAGCAGGGGCTTCAGACATGGCATTGCATGATGCATGATGCATGGAAAGCTCGCGAGTATAGCTTCTGCCGAGAATCCTCAAAATCCTGTCGCGATGGAGTGCGATGGAGTGCATTTAGCGAAAGCACGACGGAGTGCAGCCAGGGCTTCGTCGGCATTTGGGGCAACCAAAAGGCCGGTAGGGCTTTCGGGCTTCTTTGCTCATCGTTTGCATCACCTCCTTCGAGGGCATGGCCTTGGCCTTCGCATGCGACTTGGCTTTGGCCTTCGGCTGCGATTTGGCTTTGGCCTTCGGCTGCGATTTGGCCTTGGCCTTCGCCTTTGATTTGGCCTTGGCCTTCGGATTCCCGTGCCCCACTGCGGCATCGGCAGCAGACGGCTTCTTCATGGCCGGGCCCTTGTCCGATTCCAGCTTGCGACTCTCCCATGCCGCCAGCATTGCATTAGCTTGCTCGGCTGGTTGCAGGGGCGGCTTATTCTGGTCGTTGGTGGTCTCGGACTGCAGCCCCCAGTTCTCAATCTGCTGCTGTTGCCCATGCGGATCTGATTGATGTCCTTGCGGCTCCGATCGATGTCCTTGCCCCGCCTGGTTGGAAGGAACGATCTGTGCATCGGTCGGCTTTCCCTGACTCTGATGTCCTGCAGGCTGCCCCGGTTGATTGAACAGAACGAGGTTCGGCAAGCCTTGGGACTTCGGGGTTGGTGGTGCCATCCACTGCTGCTGCATATGATTGTATGCCTGCATCATCTGCTGCATCGTCATAAACTGCTGCCCATGACTCGGCAACAGCGGCACATGACTCGGCAACATATGACTCGGGAACATGCCCGGCTGATGCTGCCACGAGCTGGCAGAAGTGGAAGGCGAAACACTCTTGTGCGACTTCCTCACGGGTCCAGTGATGCCCACTGGGCCACTTCGCACCGAAGCCTGAGGGCTGTCTTTGAAGCAACGTTCGGCCAGGTCCTTTGGCAACTGGTCGGGAGTGCTGAATGTCTGGACATGCACTGAAGCAGGCAGCATCTTCTTCACATGTCCTTTCAATGCCGCCTTAAAGTCTTGAACAGACTTCAAGAACTCGCCCGGCTCCCCCAATTCTGCTACCTGCATGTGTTGCTTGAGGAAGCTGATGGCCCTCCCGCATGACTGCTCGGTTGGGTTGCTGCACCCCACTCGAGAGAACACCATGCTCAGCCGTGTGACCTTTGCGAGAACGTTCAGATCGGGATTGCTCAGGCAACTGACATCGTCTTCCGAGAGGAACGGAGCAACATCAGGCAGTTCTTGAGTGCATTTCTTCGTCCTCTTGCTAGCAGCTGCTTTTGCAATCTTCTCGGATACGATGGTGATCAGCTGATCTTTTTGCCCCGGGGAGAAAGGGGAGTCGGCGATGGTCTTCATGAGGGGTTCCATGTCTTCGTTGCCCAAGTCCATCGCCTTGAGCTGCTGCTCCAAGCTGTGAAGCTGTGCCGTCAAGACATGTTGGCGAGCCGTGTCATCCTGGAGGGTCCCGATGATGGCTTTCACCGCCGCAAATTGCTGCATCATCTTCGCTGGCGACAGCGGATCTTCACTATCGTGCTAGACAACGTGATATGTCCTGAGAACCACAACATGAGTACATGCATCATGTGTGCAAAGGTGTTGTGTGAATGTCCATCTTGTGAATGCATCAATGAGCATGCAGGACAGCATGCAAGCGACTGCATGCAGGCTTTCTTTTTTCAACATGTATTCCATGAAACTTCGCCATGCTTCTGCATGGGCATCAAAACTGTGCCAGATGCTTGTGCAATGCTTCTGCATGGGCATCAAAACTGTGCCAGA